ATGTGAACCCTAGAGCACGCCAGCTTCAGTAGTTGCAGCGTGTGGGCTCAGTAGTTGGGGCGTGCAGGCGTAGTTGTTCCGAGGCATGTAGGATCTTACCAGACCAGGGATTGAACCCATGTCCCCTGCATTGGCAGGCGGACTCTCAACCACTGTGCCACCAGGGAAGTCCCATCCTACTATTTATTTATTATCACCTACTGAAGACCTTAGACCTTTCATTCATGTGTCAAGTACCAGACTGTTTATCTCTCAAACTTCAGGGATATATACCAAAATTTCTACTAAGGCTACCCTAACTTAATATGGTGAGGAAGTGTGGTAGGTACAATAATGACCACAAAGATGTCCACATCGTAATCCCAGAGCCTGGAAGTACATTAAGTTACATGGCAAAGTGGAATTAAGGCTGCTAGTAAGCTGGCTTTAAGAATTCCCTGATGGTCCAGTGGTTAGAACTTGGTGCTTTCACTGCCGAGGGTGTGGGCTCAGTCCCAGGTCAGAGAACTGAGATCCCGCAAGCCTTGTGACACAGCTAAATAAATAAATAAGCTGGCTTTAAGATACAGAAACTATCCTGGATTATCTGGGTGGGCCCAATGTAAGAGGCCTTAAAAGTGGAAGCAGGAGGCAGAAGACTCAATGTCAGAGTAATGGGTTGTGTTAAAAACCCAACCTGTGGACACTGGCTCTGAGCCAAGCAAAGTGGGGGGTGAGAAGGGGGCGTAGTTTCCCAAAGGAGGAGGACTCTTCGTATCACAAATGGAGATGGGAATGATGCTGGGGAAAAGACACAGGAGTTGTCCCATTCAATACTTATATAAATATATACACAGTTATAGTTAGGTATAGCTATGGATATAGATGTAAATACATATATACATACATGTAGATAGGAAGAATGAACTGTGTGTACAGCTTTTTTTTTCTGTATGGTAGATAGTTTTTTTTTTTCTTTTCACTCACCTGGATTTTTTTCTGTAATGAATATCATTAATAAAGAAATAAAAGATACAAAAGGAAACTATGCATACTTTTCCCAAGAGCCCTGTGTTACTTTCCTGCCGTGAATTTGCCCTCTCACTAAGGACACAGGCAAGGGCTCTTTGACCCGGATAGTTCAGAGCAGCCTCCTCTACCTGGCACACAGTGATCCTTCCATGCAGCCAGGAGGCTCCCCCATATCCATACCACATTATTTATGATCGCACCTGACGTAACTGCCTGTTCACTGAGGTCTAGCCCATTGTCACTGTGCCAGAGAAACATTGCCCTCACACAATGTTCTAAAAAAGAGGAACTCATTCCCAGGGTCAAGGGAGAGCTGAGGAGGCCCCCTGTGGTCTTGGGAAAGTCTTCCCTTCTCCCTGGGATGATGGATGCCGTGTTTTCCCAAGAGAAGCACTGTTTCTGAGGGCAGGGTCCATGGTTTTCTTTCTCTTTGCAGCTGGTGCAGAGCAGGCATTCTAGAGGAAAGGATGGATGAAGGGCCCCACCAACCATTTCTTTCTTCTTGGTTTCTCTGCCCTATCCCCTGTTCCCAGGGCACACATCCAGAGGAGGGCATGGAATCCTTTGGTTATCTGGGATCTGCTGGTCAAATACCGCATCACGTTATATACAGGAGTCCCCTATGAATCAGCCTGACCAGCTGTCGTAACTGTCTCCTTTCTCATCTCATTCTCCCCTCCCCTCCATTCCTCCCAGCCTCCTCCAACCCCTCTCCCTGGTTTGTTGTCTACTTTAGTTTCCTCTGTGCCTTGGATGGAGGGACTCAGATCACCACTCCTTGGAGATGACCCCCAGCACTGCTGGGGCATTTCAAACAGCCCGGGTCTCTTTTCCACTCCCATTGATTATGCCTATGGTCTACCTCCAAGCATAAGGAGAGTCCCAACCAGAGAAGGGGAGAGTGGCCAAACTGTTTCCTTCCTCCATCCTTATCCAGAGGAGGCCTTAGAACCCCAGGAGCATGGCAGTGGGGCAACAGAAAAATGAGCACTGACTTCCCTCTCTCTCATCACAGCAGTGATTTTTGGTCACTCTAGATCTGGCCCAAAGTTCCTCCTCTGTTTGGAAGAGCGGGGATCTCCTAACTGTCTGGGAGAATTGCCCTCCTTCCTGGCTGGAAAGTGAGGCTGAGGCACCCACCTCCCACTTGGTCTTTTCTGGGAGACTGCTCAGGAAATACCTGCGGATAAGCATGGCCAGAGGAAAATAGCTCATGACCCACATCTTCCCTGCAAAGTGGGAAATGAAACTCCTCATGGTCAGGACTTTTACAGAAACCACCTCTGAAACCCCAGAGGGCCCAGAGGATTGCGGTTGCTTCTTGCCTATCTTCCTCATGCTGGATCAGCCTTTTGTCCAGCTATCAGCAGAACACCTACCTGAAGCCTCCATTTCCATCACTTGGAGTAAATGCCCCCCAAGCCCAGTCCCATCTTACGCAGTGAGTCCCGTCCCAGCTTGGCGAGGCTTCCAGATCCTTTCCTGGGACCACTGGGAGGGCACATGGGCATTCTACCAATCACTCGTGCTCCATAACGGAAGAGGTTGGGGAAAGTCAACTTTTCAACAGAGAGGGAAGGGGACAGACATTCCAAGGTGTTATGTGGCAGCTGCTCTCCCTCAGATGCCTCAGGAGGAGACCAGGACCCCAGTGGTACTTTCTACCAAGAATCCAAAGTAACTTGGATTCTTCTCCAACCCCAGGCCCTGGGACGTGGATGTGAGGCCAGGAACCAGGAGCAGAAGGGCTGACGTGATCCTGGGATTAGGCTGGGTAACAAGCATGACAGCCCAGAAACAGAACATTCTGACTCCTTCTGAGCCCTGGTAGAACCAAGGCTCTTCAACTAGGTGAGTGGCTTTAAGAGAACAGGCGTGGTTATAAATGTTCAGAGACTGGCAGTGAATTAGGGGTGAGGCCTTCAGCTTGTGGGATTAGCTAACGTCAAAGCTTAGAGCAGACAGCAGGCCTGGACGTTATGTGGGTAGGGAGGAAATGAGACAGGATGAAAGGAACACCATCCTTGTGATCCACCTTCCTTCCCAACACTTGGAAAGGGTGGTGTGGAGTCCTCTCCGGTTTCCCTCAATCAGTCAGAGAAACAGCTCTAGTCTGAGGCCTATTCAGCCTGGAGAGGGGAGCAGCAATGGGTCTGTAATCACAATGAACTGGTCAGAGAGGCAGCTGGGATCCTCTCAAATATCAAAGACAGTAGAAGCCTCTTCAAGTAAAGGTAGCTATCTCCTTGGCCCTGATCATTTAGCCTCCAACCTTGGTCCCTGACACCAACCTGTCATCCAGCTCCACTGGCTCAGGGTCAGTGAAGCCCGGTCAGGTTTCTAGTCCTGTGGCCAGAGTTGTTATGCATTTTTGGGTAAGGTTTAAAACCACACTTGCCTCATGCCTTTACTATGGGAATGAATGAGAACTGCTGGAGGCCATAGAAAGATGCAGTAGCTTCCAGAAGACAGATTCCAGTCCACAGGCTGGAATCTCAGAGTTGAGTCATGATCAGCCATCAATTATTCTATTCATTTCTCTTTCATCTATTCATCCATCTTCCATCCATCCATCCACCCACCCATCCATCCATCCATCCATTTTCCATCCATCCATCTTCCATCTATCTATCCATTCATCCATCCATCCATCAATCCATCCAATTATCTGGACTGACTTCCTTCTTTTTCTCCTTTCCTCCCTCTCTTCCTCTCTTCCCTCCTCTCTTTCCTACCTTCCAAGAAATATTTGTTTAGAATCTGTTATATACCAGGTTTCTCAGATGTGGCAGGTTTCTTCAAAGTGTCAGAAGCTTCCCAGGAGAAAACTTAGTCCCTCATGGAGCCCCAAATCATCTCCTCTCTGCCCTGAGCATCTCCCATGAATGAAAGAGCAGCTCCTGGTCTGATATTGCTGGGCCTCCCACATTGTCTGAGACCCTCACAAATGCAGGAAGCAGAGAGGAGAAGCCAAATTGTACATTTACAGTTTGAATCTCCAAGCCCCATTTTATAGAGGGATATTCTATCATCTAAGATGCCCTAAACAGAAGTAGAATATTTTATTGCAGTGGTCTGCTTACTGGTCTCCCTGCTTCCAGACTCCCCACACCCTGATCTCTGCCCCTCACCACGATCAGACGGATTTTTCTTCAGTGTTCCTGTCCTTTTCTCTCTCCTGCCTAAAGTCCTTCACTGGCTCCACATCACCTATAAGCCAGAGTTCAAGCTCTTTAACATGACCCAAAAGGATCTTTATGATCTGACCCCAGGTGCCTCCTTAACCCAAGCCCTCCCTGCTCAGGTCATATATTGATACTCTGTACTCCAACAGTGCCAAACTACCTATAATTTGCCAGGCACTCCATACTTTCCAATATGCTAATCCCTCTACCCGGAACTTCTTAAAATTACTTCAGTCTCTGTACTTCCCTTGAACTGTGCATATTCTTCTATCGTTATGCTTATCACCCTGTATTGTAATTTATTTGCTCAGGTCTGTCTTTCTTACCAGATGGTGAGCCCTTTGAGTACAAGGACTGTGAGTTCTTCAGCTTTGTGTCTCAGTCCTAGCGCAGTGCCTGGTATCTAGAAGGCATTCAATATGTATTTGTGGGGTGAATGGATGGCAGGATGGAAGATGGATGAGAGCCGTCTTAGAAAAAGCTTAGCCTGAGGACAAGGTAGTTAAAGTGCCCATGTAATAGACCCCCCGGAGAAGATGACAAATGGCCTCTTCCTGAAAGCTCAGGCCCTTGAGGAGAGAACCGAGCTGTAGCCTAGGTGCTTAAGCCAGGAATGGGGAACTTTGGGATAACACAATGACTTCTGGGGGTCACTTCCCTTTTCCTCTAGATAAAAGGACTTTGGGGAGAGAGCTGGCCGGGAGCACCTGTGCCAGGAGGGTTATGGTGCAGAATCTGCTCAGGGCTCTGTGCCCAAACCCACAGTTTGCTGGTCCAACGAATGCTCTCCTCTTCTTCCTGCAGAGCCTCCTCCCAAGACGCGTCCATCTCTGGTTCTGGGAAGACTTCTCACAGTCCGTGCTGCAGTCATCTTCCTGATGCTGGTCCTGGTCGCCTCCGTCCTGCTGCAGGCCATTCTCTGTAAGTCCTCAGCTTCCACCTGGGCTCCATCCTTCCCCATGGCCAGTCGGCTCCCTCTCTCCCCCGCTCTCTGGTGGTCTCTCCTGCCTCTGGCTTTTTCATTTGTCTTGTTTCCCCTCTTTCCACGTGCAGTCAGAGAGTCCCCTCCCACCTCCACACCCCCACCGTCCCCCGTAAGATGAGTTGCTGCTCCTTCCTTTCCAATTCCAGGGAGGTTTTCCTGACAGGGATCAGCATGCTTGTGCTCTAGGACACGCTCTTTTGTCCCCAAGAAATGTTCGCCCATCTTCAACCTGTGTCATTTCCTCCTTCCTCTCTGAGTTTCGTGTCCCTTTGATCGAGAGCCTTGTGGGTAGCCCCCAACAGTGAGCATGATGTTTCCTGACCCGACAAGGGATGGTGTCCCAACTGTATCCTCAGCCCCAACTGACTAGATGGAGAACCTGGCCAACAGGTTAGGGCTAGGGTTACGGTTAGTGTTAGGGATCACTGCCCCCCCACCACAGGACCCCTTCTCTTCACTCTCCTGCTCCCACAAAGGTCATGTCAAGGGAGACTTCCTACTTCTTCATTGGATGTGTGATGTATCTTTCTCCCTCTTCTGGCTTTGCCAAGCCTCATGGCCTCTGCTTCTTCTTCCTCTCATTAGGTCTCCAGAAAGCAGGTGGAGGGAACATCTGCACTCTCCCTTCAAGGCCTTGGGACATATTTGGTCTTGGACTTGGAGGGTCTGAGCAGAGTCTCCTCTGCTTTGAGCCCACTTGGCTTATTTTTGGTTTCCTCTATGGCACGTAAGCCTGTGGCCTGAACAGAGTGTGACAGGGGGTGGGACAAGGGAAGAGAAGAAGTGGTTTCATAATTCTCCCTTTTTGTATTCTCTGGAGAAGAGATCACCTCCAGATTAGAAGTCTGCATAGGCTCTCCCTTCCATAGCCGCGAGGGGCTTATGGGTAGTCATAAGCCGTGAGGCCCAGAGGGACATGGGAAGTATGACAAAGGGGTGTTTGAAGGCATCCCTTTACCAAATGCGCCGTGAACATGCAAAGAAAATTTAGAACTGGATTCTAACCCCCTCTTCTGCTTACCCGTGAGAGCCTCTAACAGAGAGACCGTGTTTTGTCGATCTTTGCATGATCTGCCTCTCCCAGAGTTCCTGGTGCACGGAAGGTGCCCATCGCATGTTTGTTGAATGAATTCATTATGAATGAGGGAGGGTAGGCAACTGCTCCTTGGGTTGGGTCCTTGGGAAGCTTGAGCCCATCCCTTCCCTTCCCTTCCTTTTATTACCCTGGCAACAGCCCCACTCCAGTCCCTGGGGATCCCCTTGGCTGACCTCTTGACTGTCTCATATCCAGATCCTTGGTTTTGGGCACAGTATCGGATGTCAAGACCAATGCCCAGTTGCTGAAAGGTCGTGTGGACAACATCAGCACCCTGAGTTCTGAAATAAAGAGGAATAGAGGTGGCGTGGCGGCAGCTGGCATTCAGGTCCAGATGGTGAGTGCCAGCCTGGATCGTATGCGTTCTCAGATCCGGAGGTTGGAAACCAGCGTGAAGGAAGCCAATGCACGGCTGCAGGTGCTAACGAGTAGTTGGGAAGAAGTCGATAAGTTCAATGCCCAAATCCCGGAGCTAAAAAGAGATTTGGATAAAGCCAGTGCTTTAAATGCAAAGGTCCGGGGACTCCAGAGAGGTTTGGAGAATGTCAGCCAGTTGTTCCAACAGCAAAGTAAGTGACTCAGAAAAGAACGTTGCAAGTTGACCAGTAGCCCGTGGGACCTTGCCACTCTTAGGCATGACATCACTGGGCTGGTGTGTGTGAAGGGAAGGGAGAGAGGAGCAGGGCAGCCACGGCTGGAAAGTTAAGAAGAGAGGGCTCAGCACTGGGTTTGGGGAGGGCTTAGGGGCTGTTCAGGAGAGAAGGCACTAGGGACCAGCCAGGGTTCCCACACCAAGGCATAGAATATGAAGGCATTAGGGAGTCTCTTTGTCCTGATCCAAAGCCAGCCATTTTCCATTAGTCTCTACCTAGAGCCCAGGGGCTCAGACACTTGTGATGGCCAATGGAAAATTACTCCTCCTCACAAGAGAGACAGATTCTTGATTCAGCCTCTCTCGCTCTCCCCTCTCTGAGCCCAGAGACTCTACAAATCTCAGTCAGACTTTCAGGATCTGAGGGAATGTCCCCAAGCTCCTACACAAGGACCCAAAGACCCCCAGAGCCCAGCCCCATTCACTCTGTCTCTGGGATCCCACTCAAGTATCCCTACCTAGCCAGCACCAGAGAAAACAGGAACACCAGAGTACATATTTCACTCTTGTTCTCTAGATGACATCCTACAGATGGTTTCTCAAGGCTGGAAGTACTTCAGGGGGAACTTCTATTACTTGTCACAAGGACCTGGTACAGTGCCCAGCAGTTCTGCTTGTCCAGGGATTCACACTTGACCTCAGTGACCTCAGAGAGTGAACAGGTGAGTGCTGTCCTGTGGGCTCTAGGAAGGGGGTGTATTGGTAGCTGTATCAGGCAGGATGGGCAAGATTACGCTGCAGTGACAAAAATCCCCAAATACCAGTAATTCTTCAGAATTACTTCTCACTTGTACACTGCATGTCCAATGAGGGTCAGCAAGGGGTTCTGCTCACTGTGGTTACTCAGGGCTTAGGTCAAAGGAGATTTCATCTCAACATATGTTTCCACAATTGCTGAGGTGAGAAAAGGGAACATGGCACATTGTGTGTTGGCTCTTAAAGTTTCTGCTGGAAGCAACGGACATCACTTCAGCTCACATTTCATTGGCCAAATAAATGATGCAGTATTTGTAGCTTCAAAGAGGGCGGGGTAGTACAATCTTTCCATGTGCCCAGAAAGTAGAAATATTTGTGAATAGCATTAATGACATTGTCTAACCCAAGAAGTCCCGTACCTGGTGAGGCAGAATATTGAACGAGCTCCTTTCATCTGGAGGTGGGCTAGCAGAGCAGGTGAGATCATGGGCTCTGGAGTCAGAGTCTAGAGTCCTAACCCTGTGTCTGTGGGTTCAGGGGCTGTCGCTGAGGATGGGTGAAGAGCACCCAGAGAGACAGATGCTCCAACTTGGAGTCGTGGCAGCACCTCTGCTCATTCTGTCTCTCTGCAGGAGCTTCTCTACAGGACTGCAGGCGGACTTCTCTATTGGATCGGCCTGAGCAAAGCAGGGAGTGAGGGGTACTGGTACTGGGTGGATGACTCGCTGTTCAACAAGGTCCAGAGTGTGAAGTAAGCCCCGAGAACCCTCCTTCCCAGACTGACTTTCTTGGGCCAGGGCATGAAGAGTGGAGTGATAGTTCCTACTGACCACAGGGTTTGTGATTCTTCCCCATCCTCGGGCGGCAGGAGCATTGAACAGAGATCTAGCTGACCTCTGCCACTAATTGGCTGTGAAACTGGGGACAAATTCATGGCCTCTCTGTGCCTTCTGGGGTTTGGCAGCATGGCCGTCCACCCAGACTTGGCAGGGACCTCGTTCTAAGTTTAGGTCTTTGCACTATGGGTTCCTATAGGGCCTTGAGAGTTGTGGGCTGGTGTGGCCCTGACTTGGGGGGTGATTGCAGGCTTAGAGATTGACAGATCACTGGTCCCCTTCCTCTCAGGCATGGAAAAACTTGAGATGCTATCACTCGGCACCAAAGCTGGAGTTGAAATCTCTCAGTTATTCATTGGAAATATGTTTTTCTTTGTTTTTTTCCTTTCATAGGTTCTGGATTCCAGGTGAGCCCAACAACACTGGGAACAATGAACACTGTGCTGTTATAAAGATGTCCTCATTGCAGTCACGGAATGATGCCTCCTGTGACAATGAATTTCTTTTTATCTGTAAACGACCCTACATGCCATCAGAACCATGTCAGGACTGGCCCCCAAGCTCAAACTTTAAACTCCAATGCTTGTTGAATTCAAGGAAATGGGGCTCTCTCCTTCATACTCCAGGGCGATTTTGAACTTTAATTTTTCTTGTTTCGAAATTGTCTTGAAGGCATCCGGGAGTCTATCTGCCTTGGCTAGGAGTTCTCTGACCCCACAGAGTCAGCTGAAATGGAAAGGAGATCTTGGGTTGAAATGGGAGCTGAGGGTGGAGAGGATTAGAAGTTCACTAATTCACCCAGTGAGGTGAATCAGAACCTGCAATCTGGGGCAGCACCCTGGGGCGTCCCATCCCTTCAGAGGAGCCTCGTCTTCACTGCATGAAAGTTGCTTCGACCACCCAAGCAATTGTCTGGAGACTGAGACTCAGGGCTTTTCTGGTTGACTCCCCAGAATTCCCAGTTGCCTGCTGAGGTGGCTGTGTTCTCAGTGGGAAGAGCTCAGCTCTTGGTGACCCTGTTCATGCCATGTACCCATGGCCCCCTTCATCCACATCCTCTGAGATCTGAGACCCTTCCTCCCTGGGACGGGCTTGACTGGTTCAGATCTGGGGCTGACATGGGAATGTGTCTCCTTAGAGCTGGACCAGCGTCCATGCGCTTCTCCCTCCCCCTCACTCGCTAAACTCTGGGACCAGTCTGTCTGCCGAGCCCTTCTGCCTCCCCTCCTCTTTCTTCTGCATCTCCTCTCTCCCCAGAGGGCAGGGGAAGGGGCCTTCAGTGAAGAGGGCACCTCTGAGCTTCATTAGAATAAAATGCTGCCTAGGAAAAGGTCAGTCTCTTTTGTTGTTTTCTTCCCGCGGGTGCAGGTGAATGTGCGGGGAAGAACATCTGCTCTCCCGGACATGAAGTTCTGGGGTGTCCTCAGGAAACAGTTGGGGGTTCAAAATAACAGAGAGTAGGAATGTTCCAGCCCCAGAAATGCCATGAAATATGAGTAGTACTGATCTCTGGCTTTTATTGAAGTGCAGCAGAGCTAGCACTGCAGTGTCTGCAGTGTCACGACCCTCCTGGTGGTCTTTCCTCCCAGATGTTCATGGACCATCTTTTGTTCTCTGCCTTTGCTCCCGATGGGGAGACACATCAAGTTTCCCACTCTTCACAGAGACTGTGATCACAGACATCGGGTCCAAATCCCCCATCCAGGGGCCGAGACAGGAATCCAGGCCCGCACCAGACAGGAGAGGAGCAGAGAGGAAGCAGAAAGGGTGCGGTGTGAGTGTGGGATGGGCTCAGCAGAGCGGCCCTCCCCTCCTTGGGGTCCTAGTTAGGTGTCCTCTTTAGGGTCCGGGGAGGGGACGTTTTCCTTCAGTGACTGTGACCAGCAGCGTGGTGTTCTGGGTGCAAAGGGGCCGGGGCTAAGGTCAGGGGCATTAGGAGGAATCTTGAAGGAACATGGGGCAATTGGGGTTTTTAAAATATGGTGATGGACGGGGGATGGGCAGTCAGCGATGGCGTCCACGAGGGAGCATTTGTAGGCCAGCTCCAGGGACATCTGAGGTCTGAGGAGGCAAGGGCGTCAGGGAAGTGAAGACGGGCAAGTTCACAGGGGTGGATGTGCGGGCATGGAAGGCATCTATGTCTTCCCTGAGAAATACTTGGTTGTTCCCACTCTTCATAATTCGAAGTAGCAAGTTACAGGAGAATGTTATTTCTTCCCAGTGTCGGCTATGTGCTCATAGCACAAGCTGATGTAGAAATGAAATACAAGTTGTGGGCTCAGGGCTGCCTCTAGGGAGCTATCCCATTGTGTGTCCAAACATGACACTGCTCTCCATCTTCCTGTCACGCCTGGCGTGTTAGTCACCACGTCTGGGCCGCCACGCTGAGTAGCATGTGACCCTGCCCCACGCTCCAGCTTCTTCCCTGAGGTGGGCACTTGTCACCAGGGCAGTGGATTCAGAGGCTTGCATTGTAAGGCCTAAAATTTCACTTATTGCCATGATATTTTCTGAGGCTTACAGGGCCTCAAAAGCCTAACTAACTTTGAGTTCCCCAGCTCTCACCAGATATGTCCCCGCACCTGGCCAATTCCCCTTAACTGGGCCAGCTGCACTCCACCCAGTCTCCAACCTACTGGGTTCCGCTAACCCACCAGTCCAGAAACTGTTCAAACAAGCCCATCACATCCTCCTGCGGAACCAGGGACACACCATCCTCTTGTTGCTGCAAAGCCGGCCTCTCACGGCTCTTGCTGGTTCCCTCTGCTCCTGGGTGTAACCCCCGTGTGGCCCTGCATGGTATGCAGTGTCCTCCTCCGGACTGTGACAGCATGTGACTAGTAAACTGCCGTGAGTATTTTCTGCCCAGCGTCAGATGTCATGTGTTTGGCCATCTTGTATTATTTGGGGCAGGAGATGCCTCCCTCACTGACTGAATGCATCCCCTCACAATTCATATGTTAAAACCCTAATCCCCCCTGGGGTGGTATTAGGAGGTGGGGCCTGTAGGAGGTAATTAAGTCACCAGGGTGGAGCCCTCATGATGGGATTCGTGCTCTTATAAGAAGAGACATGAGGGACTTCCCTGGTGGTCCAGTGGGTAAGACTCCATGCTCCCAATGCAGGGGGCTTGGGTTCCATCCGTTGTCCGAGAACTAGATCCCGCATGCCACAACGAATATGCCACGGGCCACAAGTAAGACCTGGTGCAGCCAAAGTAAATAACTAAATTTTTTTTTTTTTTTTTTTAAAAAGAGACATGAGAGCTTGCCTCTCTCTGTCTGCTCTCCATCCTGTGAGTTTACAACGAGAAGACAGCCATCCACAAACCAGGAACAGAGCCCTCACCAGGGACTGAGTCTGCCAGTATCCTGATCTTGGATTTCCCAGCCTCCAGAACCGTGAGAAAGAAATTTCTCTTGTGTAAGCCTCTTAGACTGTGATGTTTTTGCTATAGCAGCCTGAATTGACTAAGACACTCACCACTGGTGTAAATAGGAAGCGATAAGAACAAGGCTGGCCAGGAATCTCTGGTTGGTTCTGATGTGAAGGGATGAATGGGACTCTCTGACCACTTCTCTGGAAAAGAATTTGAACTTGGAAATACCCAGGGATTGAGGCAGTTAACAGAGAGAAGTTGAGTTGGAAGGGCCCTGAGTTAAAGAAAGGCTGGAGGGGCCACCATGGGGCACCTGCAGAAACTAAGAATACGCAGAAGCTGTGAGGCAGAGAAGCAAAGCACATGAGGAATATATCTGGCAGAGAAAAGAGAATGGTGCAGAGGAGGGAATAGGCGAGACACAGAGGGGAGGGCAGCAGAGTGAAGGCCCAAGAGCCAGGCTGCTGAGGTTCCTGGAATCTCCTCAGAGGCAGTCCAGCCCTCCTGACATTCCTGGGTCCTGTGCACGTGTATCCTGCGATACGACCTGCCCCCATGACCCCGCCTATTGCTTTTTCTGTAAACTGAAGGAGCCTGGGTCAGTGAGGATGTATTTTTATTTGGAGTCTGTGCCCCACTCTGTAACCAACCAGCGTAGCATTGCCAGGCCCTCCTCCCTTCAGGAAACTGGGACGGCTGCTGCTTTGCCTTGCCGTGTGACCTTGGCTCACTTACCCCCGCAGGCAGGGCTTACTTCTCCAGTGAGGTCACTACACGGGTACCTGCCCTTCTGCTGGCAGCGGGTCCTTACCCAAGAAGTTCAGCATTGACAGAGCTTTAGCCCTTGTCTCAGGTCATGGACACGATAATATGTCTAATGAAATTCCAGGATTGTTTCCATTATAAGCTGGAAAGTTGGGAGCCAAGGATGGGTGAGAATTTTATCTCATCCAAGTTGTGTGTTTATTTTATTATAGTATTATATATTTTTTCTGATTCTGCAGGCTACCAATGATTGACATGCCTACTCTGAATGCTGCAATGAAATGCTATTGAAAAATCTATATTTTTGTATTTGAATACAAAGAAGAGGAGAAAAAATATTTGACCCACTCTTACTGATTGACTGATCCTAGCTCTTGTGAACAGGTAGGTACATGCTATAATATTTTATTTTTCTGTTTTATGCTTTATTTCTCTATGCATCTATGTATCTATCTATCTATCTTCCTTCTTTCCCCTCCATTCCTCTCTCCCTCTTCCTTCCTCCCTCCTTCCCTCCCTCTTTCTCCCTTTCTTCCACCCTTCCTTCCTTCCTCCCTTCCCTCCCCTCTCCTCCCCTCACCTCTCTTCCCCTTCCCTCCCTCCCTCCTTCCCTCCCTTCCTTCCTTCCTTCCTTCCTTCTTTCCTTCCTTCCTTCTTTCCTTCCTTTCTTCCTTCCCTCCCTCCCTCCTTCCCTCCTTCCTTCTTTTTTTCTCTTTCTCACATCATGCCACAAAGCTATCTGTCTCCAGCCCTGCCCTTGGCTGCCTCTGCTTTGGCGCTGATGCCAGGCGGACTCTCCCCAGTGGTGATCTGGGTAGCTCCAAGCTTAGAACCTCACAGCTCTGTAACTTCAGAGGAGAGAATTTCCCCTTTCCAATAGTTTCAACAAAAGCCCAGCATTGGGTCACATGCTCAGCCCTGAAGCAGTAATGGAGGTCAGGGAGATGGGTTATGTTGATTGAGCCATAGGCTTAATCCTGGGAATTGGGTACGGGCTCAGCCTCACCCCTGCCAGAAGACTGAGCACGAGGGCAGGATGGTTCTCAAGACTAATCCCAGGAGAGATGCCTGAAGGAGGGAGACTGTTAGTTCACAGCTGCTCAGGGCCCTGCTTGCAGCCGTGGGTCTCTTCCTTCCATCAAAACTGCGGGATCAGCCACTCCCAGCTGTTCACCCTGTGTTGTCAGGGGTTGATATGGCTGATCAAAAACTTCTGGGGTGTCTGAAGCTAAGGGTCTGCATCTCTAGGAGGACGGCCCTGTACCATTCAGCAGACACAGGGACAACCAACCTGTGAGAGGTCCTGACCAATGAGTGGTTCTAAGTGTTAACGTATAAGATGTCCATTTGATTTTTTTCTGGCCAGAGAACAGAGAAACCTCTCAGCAAGGATTAGGAACCTCCTGGTGCTTCTTTCCTGCTGGCAGATTACGTTCTTGTGGGAGAAATAAGAGCTGGGAGCCTGGAGTGGGGAGGGGATTGGGCACAGGGAAGGGGGCGAGAGGAGGAGTCCTGCTGATCAAGCCTGGAGGACGGTGCCCCTTCCTGGCCCAGACCTCGCCCTTCTAGCTGAGCAAGGGTTCTCCAAAGTTCTGCTTTCGAGGTTCTCTCAGCTTCTCAGGCCCAGGAGGAAACAGCTCCTGAGAGGGCTGACGTGGGCCCTTCCTGAATGTGGGGAAACAGAAACCAAGGCAGGCCCCTTCTTTTCTGCTGCTCCCCTGGGCCTCTTACAAGCCTCTTGGGGGGGTACCTCTGGCATCTCCCCTCCCACTTGGACACTCCTGGGGTCTCAGGCAGTGCTATTATGGACTTCACATTTTCCTGTGTCCTCTCCTCTCTGCTCAGCTTTCAACTGGCAGGAGGTAGCAGGCTTGTGGATGGTGACTCTGTATTCTCCACACACACACACACACACAAACATGCACATATACACATACCATGCACATATACACACATATATACACATATAAACACATACACATATCACACACACACACCACACCACACATAAACATACACACATATATGCACACCACACATCACACATAAGCCTACACACATATACACACACATACACATATAAACACATACACATACATATCATGCACACATATACTCATGCACACACACGTATACACACATACATATACGCATACACATATATATCACACACATATACACATACACATAGTCACGCATACACATATCCATATACGCAATATATGGATACGCAATACACAAATATACACATATACACATACACGCATATATCACACAATACACATATACACACACACACACACACACACTGCCATGGCATCACGAGCTGGGTGTAGGCAGGCACGCCCCTCCTCGCCCTGCCGACGAGCTGTGCTCCCGGCTGGCTGTGGCTGCGTTGACAGTGGCCGTCCATGGCACAGGCTCCTGCTGGACCTAAGCTGCTCTCCTGGCCTGGCCGCAGGAGGAGGCACGTTCAGTGTGGCTTCTCCACCACAGAAGCCGGATGGTGGGCTTCTCAGGTGGTGCTCGGGGCCCTATGGGAGGCTGACTCCAGCATTTGGGAAAACACTATGGGAATAAGATGCAGGGACTGAAGGTGAAAACGGGAAAAATCAACACAATTTGGATGGAACAAGCCACTTGCAAGGAAACTGACATCTCGTAAATGGGCCGCTGGTGAGACAGGGGACAAAGACATAATTAGATTTTCATGAGATAAAAAAAATGTGATCCATTTCGATAAGATTGTAACTCTGGACTGATGGGGAACCGACGAGCGAGAATCTACCGTCATCCTCAGAACTGACTTCAGGAGGGCTGCCTTGACCAGCCATTGGGGCTACTGATTCTGTCCAGCTGGTCACCCCCATGGGGGTGGGGACTTGGGGCTGCACAGCTGCACTGGGATGGCTCACTCCTAGGTCTTGGTCCAGAAGCAGCAGGAACCCCCTGACGCAGTGTTTGTTCCTCCTGGGAGTTACAGGTCTCATTGTAAAGCAGCACGTTGGCTTACCCCGCGGTTTCTTCTGAGTTAGTCCTGAACCTGATCAACTGAGGGGAGCACGGATGCAGTCAGCTTGAGGTGAGATCTTGGATTACGTTAGGTCCTCTTTGATGTCTTCTGACATCACTTCTGACACTAGATGTGTGCTGTTCTCTGACATCAGCTGAGTGTCCTACAATTCAATTCAGTTCTGACCCTCACCCCTGGAGTTAGCACAGACCCCACAGGTGAGGCGCTCAGTCCCACAAGGCCGCCCCAACTTCAGATGCCAGGGGCAAGCAGGCTCTCCAGGCAACCACACTTCTGCCCAGACGACGGCGAATCTGGGGAACCCCATGACCCCTCTCAGGTCGATAATTCACTAGAATGACTCACAGAGCTCAGGAAAACACTGTAATTACTTTTTTTTTTTTTTTTTTTGCGGTGCGCGGGCCTCTCACTGTTGCGGCCCCTCCCGTTGCGGAGCACAGGCTCTGGACGCCCAGGTTCAGCGGCCATGGCTCACGGGCTCAGCCGCTCCGCGGCATGTGGGATCTTCCCGGACTGGGGCACGAACCTGTGTCCCCTGCATCGGCAGGCGGACTCTCAACCACTGCGTCACCAGGGAAGCCCTGTAATTACTATTAAAGTT